TGACAAAGGTGCCCCCACTGCTCACCAACTTGCCGGTGCCGTTCTCGAAGCTCCCGGGCCTCTGGGTGACGGTAGGGGTCCCGGAAGTGGTGGGCCATGGCCATGTCCTCAAGGCGGTAGTGCTGGGGTGGAGGAGGCGTAGGGGGAGGTAGCCCGTTGAGCTGGTGGCTCCGGCCATTGCTTGGGCTGCAGCGCTGGGCAGGGCTCAGGGTGCACGGCCGTTTGCTGAGGGAGCTGGGGTGCGGTGGGTCTTTGTCTGACCCATTCTCTTTGGTCCTGGCCCAGCGAGCAGGCGGGGTCCAGGTGTGCAGTGGAAACGAGGCAAAGACGTGGGCAGAGGAAGAGCACAGAGCAGGAGTGGGGGAGAGAGAAGGGAGGCAGGTATATGGAGAGAGAGGGCCCCACAAGACATTAGATCAGTCCAATGGGGCCCAGCCCTGTGCCCCTGTCTCCTCTCTGCCCCTGGGCCTGGGGACACCGCCCTCAATCTGTGCCCACTCTGAAGTGGGGCTCCTGGACACAGTGGTCAAAAAGTCTGGCCTCTGGCTGACAAAACTCTTGTGACACTCTTTGGGGCCACAGAGGGGCTCTGGGGACTTTGGACTGCTGGACATGGGGGCTCCATCTAGCACCAACAGAACAAGCAGGTATTCTCCCCCAGGAAGAACCCCGTCACCCCCTCCTGGTTTTCTGAGGGCTTCCAAGAGGGGCATCTGAACCCCCTGGAGACCTTGCCCCCAAACGGGGCAGGCTGTGAGCCTCTAGGCCAGTGGTTCTTGACCTGTGGGTCGTGACCCATTTGGGGTCGAATGACCCTTTCACAGGGGTTGCCTGATTCAACAGTACCCAAATGACAGTGATGAAGTAGCAAAGAAAATAATTTATGGTTGAGGGGGTCACCAGAACATGAGGAACTGTATTAAAGGGTCACGGCATTAGGGAGGTTGAAAACCACTGGTCTGGGCTACACAGCAGCCTCGTAAGTAAGGTTGAACTTCATTAGATTGCAGCTCACCTCCCATAGAGGGCAACATCGTAGTAACCCATATCATACCTCCCATAAAACAAAAAACAGAGTACCAATCAATATCATACTTCCCATAGGATGAAACCCCATAGTGTCAACCCCACAGCTCACCACGCCCACAGTATCAAGTCATCCTATTCTTTAAAAAAGCTACCCTGTATCAGAATGATATCTAATCTCCCGTAGTAGAATGCACGGCAGTATCAGCTCCACCACTCATTCCCCTTCCCTGTAGAAGGCAGTCGGGCTCCAATCCCACATCTCATTTCCCGTCCAGGTAGCATGGTGTCCACCCACACTCTCAGCCTTGGCCCCCTGGAGCCCCTGCTAAGTTCAGGGCCCAGAGGCCACTCTCAAGAGTAAAGGGTGCCCCCAGCGTGCCCCTCCCCTGACAGCGGGCTACCTGTCGGGGGTCCTCCTCTTGCCGTTCTCATTGACTTCCAGCAGAAGCTCGGAGGAGTCGATAGGGGAAGAAGCATTGGCGTCCAGCAGGAGCTGCTCGTGCTGGGCCAGGTACTGGGCGGGCGTCTGTTTGGCCAGGCGGGCGCAGTGCAGGAGCTCTCGCTGCAGCAGGGGCAGGTTGGTCTGCAAGGGAAGGGGGGCTTGACCTCCTGGGAGAGCAGGGCTGGGGGCTGGGAGGCAAGAGCAGGGGTCGAGGGCCCAGAGTGTCCGCCTTCAATTTGCTCCTGAGTGACCACTCTGAATCATGCTCCCTGATTCTAACCAGGGGACCACAATGTTTGTCTGAGAGGGGCAATCACTTCTCTAGGGGTGCAACGGGGATCCATCCATTCGAGGAGGGAGTTGGGGCTCGGAGCGGGGAGTGGCTAGCTCTGGCTCACAGCTCATGGGCAGTGAATCCGGACATAAAGGTGACCTGCCGTGACCTCACTGAGGCCGGCCTCCCCTCCCACTTCCCATGGGTCCCAGGCTCTGGCTGAGGCTCCTGTTGCAACGCCAGGGTCCCCTTCCCTGGGCCTACCCTGCCCCTATGCATCCCCATCTGGCCACAGGAACCATGACCGGTCCCTCCCACATCTGATGGACCAAGGGTGCAGGGCACAGGAGGATCAGGTGACATGCCTAGGACAAACAGCTGGATTCACACAGACCCTGGCTGCCAGCACCCTGTGCTAACCACTGCACCCTCTTGCTTCCCCACCCAGCTGGACCCTGGTGCCAGTGGCTTCCCAGCATGCATTCTCCCCTCCACCTCCCCCAGTGCTTTCCCAGCATCTTCCCAGAGTCAGAGGGCGGGCAGGTGGGCGGGCAGGCCAAGAGTGCTGGAGGGAGGCCCAGCAGCAGGCCCCCTCGGGAGAGCTGCAGTCCTAAGTATTTATAAGTAAGTGCAGTCCCCCGCTTTCTCATGTGCTTCAGAATTGCCTGACCTGTGCACCCCCAGGAGCCATCCACTGGCCCATCCGCAGCCAGGCCTGCTTTCCCACTGAGCGCACTGAGCGGGGCCAGCCCTGCAGCGCAGCTGGGAAACATGGTCCCAGGGAGCTTTGACGCCAAACACGCCTCCTCCTCCCCACCCAGCGGCCACCCTGGGCCATGAGGGGAGGGACCATGTGATTGGATGGCAGGAAGGCGGGACACCGGCTGGCCACTGGTAGGGCAGAGGGAACATCTGGTCGCCAGGCCAGCTGGGGCCAGCTGGGAGCTGGCTGCAGGGAGACCGCTGGGTGGGACAACATCTCCCAGCTTCTGCAATGGAGGTGGCTGGGGAGAGGGGGGCCCTGGCCCAGACCGAATGCAGCCCTTGGTTGGGGTCAGGACATGGGGTGCTGGGTAGGGCTCGCCAGCCTGAGGCCTCCAGGAGAGCAGCTCAATTTTGTCCCTGTGAGCCCAGGGACCCTGAGGGAGACACTGCTAGAACGCTGGACCAGCCTGTCTGGTCACAGCCCCCTCCCCCACATACACACGGCTCTGTGTCCCAGTGAAGGGTCTGGTGCTGCTGAGGCTCCTGAGACACTGAGCTCAGGCCGGAGAGACGCCAGCACCTCCCCAACAGGGTCGGCAGTGGTGGCTCCCCTGTAACACACGGGGAGGTCTGAGTCCGGCCCAAGCACACTTCAGAAGAACAGCCTGGCTGTCCACGTGCAGACACTCGGCCTCGGACGCATACGATGCAGCATCCACTCTGGTGGCCCTGCCTGCCTGTGATCTGCAGCCCCCTGGAGTCTGCCCATGAATTAATCCCCTCATGCCCACAGCCTGCGAATGGGTAAAGCATGCGGGGCCAGAGCCTGCTCTCGGGTCACCCTGAGCCCATGAGCGCAGACAGGGCTCCCTCCTGCTGGTGGGGGTGGAGCCTGCTTTCTGGGCAGAGCCTGCTCCCTGGGCACTGCCTCCTGCTGCTCCCCAGCCCTGTGGCACAGTGATGCTGGCCTGCTAACCACAAGGCCAGCAGTTCAAAACCAGCAGCTGCTTCTCAGGAGAGAGAGGAGGCTGCCTGGGACATTCTCTCTCCTGCGGGGCCACAGTGAGTCTGTGGGCTTGGCGTTCTCCTGCCTGGGCCTGGCTGAGCCGGGGGACATCCTAGAGGGATAGCAAGCTGGGGCATGGGGCACCGAGGGACACTGGTCGGTCAACCGCCTGATGCACCCTGGCCGGCAGCTGCTTTTCCGCGTGGCTTCTCCAGGTGGCATTTCACCAGGAGCTCCAGGGCAGGGTGAGCGGCGCCCCTTCGGGTGGGTGTGGATGAGGGTTAAGGCGGAGCCCCTGGCGGGCTAGCCCCTCACCCTCAGGTCTGAGAGCGCCTAGGCACAGTGCCCTCCCTCCCACCCCCCAGTGCCCAGAGAGGAGACACCTAAAGCCAAGCAGGGCCAAGCCAGTGGGCGCCCAAGGCATGAAGGTGAGGGTGGGGGGTGGTGTTCAGGGACCCAGGGGGCAGAACTCAGCTGTCTCCCCGGCCTCTGACCCCAGAGAGAGGGGCGGCTGACATCTGCCACGGATATTTGATCTGACCGAGGCAGCAGCCTGTGTCCTGAAGGTGGAGTCAGCGGTGAGTGGGAAGAAAGAGGGTAGTAGGGAGGCTGCTCATGAACTGCAAGCGATGGCCAGATGGGCAGAGGGAGAGAGAGAGAGCGAGAGAGCCAGCTTGGGGCTGTGAGCGGGCAGGCACAGGCAGGAGGGGGAAGCGGATGTGGCGTATGCCCCCTGCCCCGTGCTGTGTCCGCCCCAGGCTCTGCCAAGGCCATGGGGGGTTGGAATTTTAGAGTCAGGGTTCCGGCTGGGCTCAACCACTGCCCTGTGGGGGCTGGGAGGGGAGCCTCAGTTCCCCTGCCCCCTAGTCCTGATGTCCTGCAGGGTGGGGCTGCTGGGTGGTGAAGTGCTTTGCGTGGGCATCCTCTCTGAGGACAACTTCAAGTTCTGGAGGGTGGAGGGTGGAACTGGCTCTCCCAGTGCGGCCACAGAACTCGGACCCTCGCAGGTGATCCCGCATCACTGCTCAGAGGCTGAGGCCTAGGCCATGCGGGGGGAGGGCAAGGTGGGCCGTGCTGGCTCCTGTCAGGTCAGCTGGCGACAGGGAGACTTGGGTCTGCCCGGGGCGGGCTGGGGTCCCATGGGCAGAGGCAGCTTGGACACGGTGTTGGACCACCTGGGCTCTTCTCCAGCTCAGAAGCAGAATCCCCTCCAATGGACCAGCAGGGTTGGGGGGAGGGGGAGTGTGGGTCACCCTGCCTCTTGGAAAAAGGCAGAGTCGGTGAGTTTGGGGCCTGACAGAGAGGGGCTCAGAAGCTCCGGACACCACTGGTGCCTTGAGTACCACTGTCCGTCTTCTACCCGTCTGTCTGTCCTGCTGGCTTCACCTTGTGAGCCCCTTTGCATGTGACGCCCATCCACCCACTGCCTGCCGCCTGGCTGTCCAGGCTGGGCTCCTGTCCTCCTGCTTTCCACCCCTTGCTCATGCCCCTCATACGGCCATGCCTTCTCCTGCCCCAGGGCCTTTGCACTGCTGGCCCTGCACGATTCACAAGATGCCTTCTCCCCGAGGCCTCCCAATAGCAGCCTCAGGCAAGAGCTTCATAGGCCCCCTTAGATGGATTGCCAGCCCTCCTCCTAATCACCCCCTCCCCCATGCTCCCTCAGACCAAACTCAGCCATCGACTCACAGTGACCCCACAGGGTGGGTAGAGCTGCCCCTGTGGACTTCTGAGACTGTCCACAGCCCCTTCTTTCTCCCTTGGAGCAGCTGGTGGTTTCAAACCGCTGACCTTGGGCTAGTGGCCCAACACAGAGGCACTGTGCCACCAGGGTTCTGGTCCCTCTTCTAGCCGAGGTACCGCCAACAGACACACCCACCGCTGGTCACCACGACCCACAGTGCAGTTGGACGCTCCCTGGGGTCTGAGGCTGTGCCAGAGCGGACAGCCCCACCTTTCTCCCACAGGACAGTTGGTGGCCAACAGCTCTAGCCCATGGGAGTGCGCCTGAGGGGAGAGCACGGGCCAGGGCGGGAAGGTGCGCTCACCTTCAGGAAAGGGATGACGAAGGGGCGCAGAGGGAAGTTGGTGGCCTCCTGGAGCTTGGAGTGGAACTCCTCGATGGTCAGCGTGGAGTTCTGAGTGGAGAAAGGGTGCTCAGGGCAGAGTCTAGCCAGCTCCCAGCAGTGTGGCACTGCCCAAGGGCACAGCCTCCCCAGGATCCCCCAGACCACCATGCTCCCTGGCACCAGGCTGCACCCGCTCCCACAGCCCCCGACTCACTACTAGTGCCAGCACCAGGCTGCGCACCCGCTCCCCGATCTCCGGGGAGATGTCGCCTGCGAACTGCTGCAGGGTGGTCAGGAAGCGCTTGAGTTTGCTCAGCTGCCGGGCGCCGCAGGCCGGGGGCAGGTGCTGCGTGGACAGGGCGGCTGTGGAGGAGCTGGCCGGGCCGTTGCTGAAGCCATTGGGTGTGGATGGGGCGCCGCTGACAGCCGTCGGCGAGTGGCTGCCGCCGCTCATCACTGCATGCAAGGCGTGGGAGTGAGGGCTGGCGTGGTGACCACAGGGTGACCACAAGGACAGTGGTGACCACAATGGCTAGGGTAACAGCTCCTAAGGTGACAATGACGTCGCTGGGCGGGGTTGGCTCTGGGGAGCACCCTGCCTGGTGGTGCCTGCCTGGATGGTGGGGGGGGGGTGTTACTGCCTGCCCCTCAGCGTCCCCTCCCCCTAGGTTCACAGCTTGTCCAGGGGCTGCTGCAGAGCTGCAGTCCCCACAGCTAGTTGCCCCAGGAGGCCCTGGGGATGCAGTGCTGTGGGTGCAGCCTGGCAGGAGGTGACAGCCTGGGCTAGCCTGAGGGGCCCTGGCGTGAGCGTCTTGGCTGGTTTTCTCCTGGCCTGCAGCCCCTTTGCTCCCCGCACTCTGGTCTTCAGTTCTGGGGTTATCCTCTGCCTGCCCCCATGCAGCTGAAAAAGCTCCCTCTACAACCTCTGGGTGTCCCCCAACCTTCCTCATCAGTGAGGGGCTCCCCACTTAACAGAGTTTTGGGAACCATGGATGGGCTGGGGTGGGTCTGTCCCCTGTCTGAGGCTGGGGTGGTCTGTCCTCATTTGAGGCTGGGTGGGTCTGTACCCGTCTGAGGTTGGGGTGTGCTGTCCCCCTGAGGCTGGGGTGGGTCTGTCCCCTGTCTGAGACTGGGGTGAGTCTGTACCCATCTGAGGCTGGGGTGGGCTGTCCCTTGAGACTGGGGTGGGTCTGTTCCCTACCAGAGGCTGGGGTGGTCTGTCCCTGTCTGAGGCTGGGTGGCCATGCCCCTCCGTGAGGCGGGCAGTTGGTGTCAGCTGGGCTTCTGCTCCGGGCTCTGGTCCTTTGTGTCCCTGTTCTGTGAGCAGCCAGGCCTCACTCTCGAGGGCCCATGGGAGAGGAGACTTGTGGGCCCCAGGGGTGACCAGGGTGGGACCGAGATCCCTCTTGAGAGCCCACCAGACCAGGCCCTTAGGGCGCCGGCTTGGCTCTCAGGACCAGCCCTGACAAGCCCCACACATGCCGGCAGTCTGAGGACAGCCTCTCGGTCACCCATCAGGCCAGGAGATGGCCTGTCACCATCACTGTCACCACGGGGACACCCAGCAAGTACAGAGCACACCATTACTGAGCCCACCGCGCGCGTGCCCCCCTGGACGCCTGTGCTGACCAACCTGTGCCCTTCCCGCCTGCTCCTGCCTTGGCCCCACGGCCTCCCCACCGCCCTTACCGGCCGGCTGTGCCCTCCACGCCTGTCCCTCGAGCGGCCTCTTGTCTGCCCGTCCCTCCCGCCAGCCGCCGGGCAATATCAGCAGCTTGCTAAAGAGATGCCGAAAATAACCTCGGGCCACAAGTGCTCCTGCGCCGCGACAGGTGTGTTACTAAGTTAGACCACACACACGTGTCCCCGCCGAGGTCTGCAGCACAGGCTAGCATCTTCTGGTTTCCCCCCTGCGGCCAAGGCAGGGTCGAGCTGGGACGGGGACCGCCCCCCCACTCTCCTTGTCACCCTGGGCAGCATCCTGGACCGGGGTCACCCTGCCACCCTGAGGAAGGGGCACCATGACGCCTCTGGGGGATCACAGCTGGCTCGGATCTCGGCCAGGCAGCCTCAGGAGAGTGTGTGTCGGGGACTCCAGCGCCTTGTCCTCCCCACTGGGCCACCTGAAGCTTCCTCAGCACCTGCCCATGGACTCATGTTAGGGCCACCTGTGACACCCAGCCCAGGCTCCACCCACACCAGGCTGCATTTGCTCACTCCTCAGTGGGTGACCTGACCATGCCTTTCACAGGTGGGGACACTGAGGCAGACCCCCCATTGATGAACGCCATCCTGCCCTCTCACAACCCAAGCAGCTGAGGCCATGCTCCATGGTCAGGGGTTGAGGGGGAGTTCAGAGAGGCCAGAGGCCCTGGGGACACAGGGCAGGGGCAGCCACAGGCCGGGGCTGGACTTGGGCCCCTTTCAGACTCTCAACTCTCTAGGGGTCATGGGGGTAGGAGGAACACCATGGGGGTGCAGAGGGGTGGGCCCCTGCTGGGGGGGAGGGGCATGCCAGTCACAAAGCCCCGGAGGCCATGTTTCTGTTATTTTACTTACAGAGACAGACCATAGACCATTTTAAGCAGCCATGGTAACGGCCGTGGGGCAGAAACGTCACAGGCCCGTCTTCTCCATCTGTAAGCAAAATAAGACAAACAGGCGGTCAGAGAGAGGACGCCTGCAGCCGCCCCTGCCTGCCCACAGTATCTGTGACTGGGGCTCCCACGCAGGCCTTGGTTTCCCTACACCAGGGCTGGCTTGGGTGACCTCTCAGGGTGGTCTGGGTGGGCCTCTGTGTGTATGTGTGTGCACACATGTGTGTGCATGTACATGTATGCGTGCATGTGCATGCGTGCATGTGACTGTGCACGAATACACAGGTGTACATGTATGCGTATATGCATACACACGTGGGTGTGCATGTGTATATTCATGTGTGCGCGTGCACGTGCACGCAGACATGCATGTGCACATGTATGTGTGAGTGCATGTGCACATGCATGTGTGTGCGTGTATATGTGTGCACATATGTGTGTGTGCTGGTGTGTGCACGTGTGTGGGCATGTGTGTGCGTGTATGTGTGTGTGCGTGCATGCACACGAGCGGTGGGCTATTTCTTGAAACATTCTTCCCAGAAGCTGCTTGGTGACCCCACACAGCACCCTCCTCAAGGCACCGGGACCCAGGCTGGAGTCTGAGACTCTTGGGATCCAGGGCTTGGGGTGTTGTCCACGGACAACCTGTGGCTACAAAGTGAAGGCTGGACCTCACAGGGAGAGAGCACATGCTGGGGAAAGGCCTGCTTGCTTGAGCTGGTGTCTCTGAGCTGACTGTATTTCTGTCTGCTCAGATAGTGAGCCCCTTGCCCTAGGAGGTAAGCAAGGGTGCAGTGGTCCTTGAGGGCCCTGCCAGTTGTAGGTGGCTTAGTCTGCATCCCATCCCACCCCCTGAAGTGGCAGCAGTGACTGACACCCTGTCCGTGATTCCCCGCCTCCTTCGACCCTGCTCCTGGCTCTGTGGTGGCTGTGGGGTCTGCCGAGCCACAGAGCGCCAGCACTGTCTTTGGGCGAGAAAAAGTGCAGGCTGAGGTCTGGTGCAGGAGCAGGCTCTTAGCAGTGTGGCCAGGATGCCAGTCCCTGCCTGGTGGGCCGCAGTCAACAATAGCTTCCAGGGAATGATGCGGCCTAGGGACTGGGGAGGAAATCCCAGGGTGCTGCCCGCAGCTCCCCCGGGCTCCCCTGCAGCCGGGGGAGCCAGAGCTTCAGCTCAAAGAGAGACAAGTCCTTCATCTTTCGGACACCTGACGCTGAGACCCCATTATTCAAACCAAGCCGAGACTCTGGACGCAGAAATGACCCGCGGCAGGCTGGACGGGCTCTGGGCCCAGGCCCCACACCAGGCCTTCACATCTGCCCCTGGCCCAAGGCAAAGCCAAGTCCAGAGACCCAGCTGCCCCCAAGCCATTCCAAGGCTGCACTTCTGGGAACTAGGACCCCAGGGGACAAGCTGACCTGGGAGGCTGTCCGGCTGTCCCATGGGACCCTGAGTGGACAGAGGAGGCAGCCACCACACTGAAGGGTTTGATGCCCTCATCAGAGGGGCTTTCTTGGGGTCCCAACCCCCCAGAAGGGCCTACAGGTGTGGGGTTTCTTGGATCCTGAACATGGGGTTGCTTGTGGGGACAGGATGAAGATATGTGGGGACAGGACAAAGGGACATGGGCAGGACAATGGTTCACGCAGCAAAAACCCGGGGTCCCCCACTTCCCAGCGGCTCAGGACTCTGAAGCCACCGGAAAACAACTCCTTAACCTCTGCAGCTGCTGGAACAGCACTTCCCACCAGAGGGTCTGACCCAGGGACTCCCTGGGTCACTGAAGCCTCCTGAGATGGCCTGCGTGGTCACCATGGGTGCAGCCTGGGAGGGTGAGGGCCGGGACTTCATCTCTGTGGACAGATCCAGGGCCCAGCATGGTGTCCCTGCTCCCAACACTGACCAGCTACCGCCACCATGGCCACTCAAGGACATGCAGCCAGGGTGGACAGGCATCGTCCTCAGAGCAAGGACAGGCAGTGACATGGCATGGCCACAGGCATGGACAGGCACCTGGCTGTCTGCGTGACCCCTGCACCTGGCTGTCCTCACCTTGACACCTTAGCGCCGATTCCTGGCCTTCTCTGACCTCCAGGAGGTGCAGGGCTGAATGAGGCTCAGCTGCACTCAGGTCACTGCTGGTGACCCCAGGGGAGCTCCCTCCTCGGAGTCCCCTCCTCCGAATGGGCCCCAGTCCTGAGAGGGGCAGGCCCAGGGCTTGGGGTGCCAGGCCCTGCTGGCTCTACGCTCTGCAGCAGCCTGCAAAACGGGGCTTCACCGATGTGGACCCCCCCCCACACACAGAGAGGCTGCCGAGGGCCACACAGCCAGCACCCGCACTGCGTGGTCTGACTGCCTGGCTTCAGTGACCACCACCACCAGGGTTCACCAGGGGCCTGTCTGCCCAGGTGGGGGCCTCACACCACCTGGTGTCCCATAAGGAGAGGTCCCAGGGCACCTGTCCACCCTGCCCCCGCTTGTCCTCCGGTCACTTACGTGTGTGGGGCGTGCAGGGAGGGTGGCGCATGGGTCCCTGGGCTGAGGCCGGAGGCGGCGGCGGCATGCTGGGTGGGCTGGGTCGGGGCTGCGTCTTCACGGCAGCCGGGGAGTCTGGCATTGCTGCTGAGGGTGTCCTTGCCTTCTTGTCCAAGGTGGCGCAGGGTGGAGGGGGCACAGGGGACAGAGACAGTGAGACCCCAAGCGGGAGAGGCCCAGCTGGCCCCCAGCATCCCCAGCCTGCCTGCAGGAGCCAGCAAAAGGCACAGCCCTGGGGCCAGATGTCACCTGCCCAAGACACCTGCAGGTGGCCCACCGGAAGGCCAGGCATGGATGACCTGTTTTAGGTGCCAGCTGCTTCCCCCAGGATCCTCAGGTGCAGCCAGCCTCCAGCGCTCTCAGGAAGTTGGGGTGCGGTGACAGCCCCCCATACTCTCCTGAAGCTGGGGTACAGCTGCAACCCTCAGTGCTCTCAGGAAGCAAGGGTGCAGTGCTAGTTTCTAATCTCCCAGGAAATCGGGGTACAGCGCCAGCACCTGCCAGCACTCAAACAGAGACCCTGGGTCTGAGATGGTGGCTGACCTGAACTCGGACTGGAGAGTCGGCGCTGGGGACGGGTGCAGGGACAGCAGAAACAGGGTGGCCAGCCCAGGGGGGCCCTGGAGAGGGGAGTCAGGGGGGTTACCTAGTGTCTGAGTCCCTGCGCCGCCCCCCCCCGCCCCCCCAGCTATTCTGCAGCTGAAGCGGATGGTGTGAGCCAGCCCCCTCGCCTCCAGGCATGGTCAGGCACTGGGGAAACTAGGGCTAGATTTGCATGCTCCAGCCCAAGACGGGCTCAGCCCCACAGGGTCTCGCCTCACCGCCTACCAGATCCCCTGCCCCTGCGACTCTGAGCATAGTGACAGCCAGCTCCCATTCCCCACTCACTGTCCCTCCCCATGACGACCACCCAGCCCTGATGGTGAGTGACACAGGAGCCTCCCCTGCCTCTCTGTCTGCAGCCCGGGCAGCCCAGCCCAACCTCCCAGCTCAGAAGAGCTGCCAACAGGCCCAGGCCACACACCACCGGGTGACCCTGGAACTCCACTGCCCTCTGTCCCCAGGCCCCTGGGGGATGGTGGAGGAGGAGATGTGTGACAGCAGCCACCCGGCCACGGTGGCACCTGCTGTCCCCATCAGCTGTAGCTCCCTCCCGCAGGGCACCCTGCCCCTCCCCTCCACTCCTCCGCCTGTCAGGCCACCGCCTGCTGATGGCTGGGCACACGTGTGGCCGCAGCTGTGGGGACGTGTCAACACCAGGCCGGCTGTGGGGACAGCAGCCAGCGCCGAGAACCACCGGAGAAGGCCAACGTGGTCCCTGGGCCTCCGGCGACCGGCTGTCCTGACCCGCCCTTCCCCTGACTGGCCGCCCTTGTCAGGGCCAGGCAGGTGCACTCAGGACAGGAGCAGGTCCCAGGTGGGGCTTGAGGGTGGGCAGGGGCTCGGGGCCAGGCTGGGACACAGGACACAGGCCCAACGTCCTGGCCTCTGGGGCAGCGCCAGCCAGAAATGGAGTCAACAACCCCGGCTGGAAGAGTAGAGGGGCAGAGTGCCCCCGGGGCAGCTGCAGAGCCAGACCCTTCTCTCTGGGGCTGCCCCGTGGTCAGGGAAATGCTGGTGGACTGCCACACTGGAGGGATGGCTCTGTGACTCCTGTTTTGGCACCATCCACTTGCAGGAACACACAGGTTGGGTCAGTATAGCCTTTGGGGCCAGGAGCATGGATGGACAGACCAGCAGACAGGCGAACCTGGACAGAGCTCCAGTAGAGCCAACAGCAGCCCCCTTTGCAGCTGTCCACAGGTTACCCTTCACCCTGGGCCTCTGGCATCCGGCTCGGCCCCTCCCAGGGCCCAAGCCCCAGCCACATGCTGCTCCCATACCCAGAGCCATGGGAAGGTGGCCGGGGAGACCCTGCGCTAGCCAGGCATGGGTGGATTGGGGGTGACAGTGTCTGTCTGCTGTCCAGGCCACCGGGCAGTGCCCACATAGGCAGGTCCATTGGCACAGCAGCCTTGGCAAGGCCCCTGCATCACCTGGCATGCTGCCCTGCTCTGGAGAAGCAGCTGGGCAAGGGGTGCAGGCTGCACTCCCTCTCCTGGTGCCCACAGGGTCTATGCCTGCAAGCTCGACCATGCCAGGCGGGCAGGGCATCCTGTCCCTGCACCAGCCGTGGTGCCCACAGCATCTCTGGCCCCCATCCTACAGAGAGGTACTGGAGAACTGCCCACCATGGGCGTGGCATTCGCGGGATGGTGGTGGGGTGGTGGTGGTAAGCAGACAGGAAGATCCTTGAGCAGAGTGACACACAGGGGCCACAGCCCTGGGCTTGGTGACAGGTGCCGAGGATGGCGGATGGGCCTGCTTCCTTCTGTTGGGCAGGGGGGTTCTGATCACTGTGGGTCAGAACAGACTGCACAGCCCCTCACATGAGCCGGGCCCTAAGACAACCCCAACATGCCCCCTCCCAGCTGCTTAGTCCCACTCCCCCACCCCCCGGAGCATCATGGGCACTGGGGGGCCTGGCTCAAGGCCCAGGAGCTGACTCGGCCAAGGCTTTCTGTTCCAGCCCCCCCCCCCTTACCAGCTGTGAGACTCAGACACCGGCTGTGAGCATGGGAGGCCCCTGGCTAGCAAAGGCTCTGCTCCCACCCCGCCCTCCCCAGCCCTCCCCCTGCTGCATCCCGTTCCCAGAGCTGGAGGCGGTCCCTGGGGATGGCTGGGGGACCCTGTATCTTTCCCAGACTGAGCAGTCCTTTCCCAGCCTGGGGTCCTAATCAGCCAATGGAGGAAGCAGCCCCCAGGCTGGGTGGAGTGGTGGGAAAGAACACGGAATGTGCCGGAACAAGCCGCCCCATCCATCACTGTCATCATCCACCCTCAGTTCCCAGCCTGCCCCACCCGGCCGGGAGCTGGCCACAGCCCAGTGCTCCAGCCACAGAGTTCGAATCTAGAACCTTCTGAGGGGAGGCTGGTGAGAATCACCCAGGCTCAACCCCCATCCCTTGCTCTCTCCTCCTCTCTAAAGCCTGCAGCTGACTTCTGCCTGGTCACCCCAGCTGGGTTGGGGTGGGGTGGGGTGTCTGGAGCTGTAGCCCCACCCTCACTAGGAACTGACCACAGGTGGGGGCTTCAAGTGCTGGACCCCAAGGCACCAGGTCTCTCCTCCCCCAGCCCACGGACCTTCAGGCCCAGGATGACCAGAGACTCAGGCAGCAGGCTCCAGCCACAGCCTGGCCAGGGTCTCCAGGTAGACCAGGGCACCACCCTGACATGGCCCCCCTCCAGAGGACACCATGACTCAGTTCCCCTCTCTGTCAAGGGACAGGATATCCAGAGGCTTGACTGGGATGGGCCTTGGTATGCCGCCCCCTCCTGCTCCCAGCCTCAGTTTCCCCTTCTGTCAAGGGGCAGGATGACAGGAGGCTTGGCTGAGAGGGTCGGGCTCTGACTCAGTATGCTCAGAGGGTGGGGCAGCCAGGCCTCCCTGTGACATGGGAGTGGACCCCTTTGTGCCTGGGTCTGAACGAAGCAAGTGTCGTTGTCAGTGCCAGAAAAGAAAGCGAATAGCAAGAGGAGGCCCCCAACTCTGTCCCTTCTGGGGGTGCCCTCCCAGACAGGGAGGGTGGGAGAGGGGCACCCCGAGGCAGGTCCTGTCCCTCGCTGTGGCCTCCACACCCACCCATGAGGTGGGATCCCCCGGCCACAGCCCCCAGTGGAGGGACAATAATGCCAGGAGCTAGTCCCCAACCCTGAGCCTCTAAATCCTGACCTCTGCCCAGGTCAGACAGCCACGGGCGTCCTGAGCCTCTGGCCAGAGCTGACCCGCCCCAGGCAGGTGTCCCCATTCCCAAGGCCACAGGCCAGCAGGCCAAGGGCGGCTGCAGGGGTCTCGCTGTGGTCTTGTCACCAGACCCTCCCCTCCCCTCTCTCTCCCCACTCCCTCTGTTGCAGCCCCTGTCCCACCCTCGGCTGCTCTGCCCCAGGGTCTTTGCACCTGCTGGGCCCACCCTCAGTGCTGGGCTACCTTTGCATGTTCACATCACCTGCCTGGTCGCATGTGAAGCTGTGACCAGAAGACCAGCCTCTGCTCTCCCGCTTGCCTGTCCCCACCCCAGTATTGTTTCCAGGGGGCAGGGTGCCCTGTGTTGTACAACCGGAGCACCCTGTGTTCTGTCCCATCCCCATCGTGTCTGCCCCCGGAGGGTGCAGCCTCCCCTCTGCTCGGTGAGTTGAGTGCCGACCCCAGCAGGAAGTGTCAGAACTTCCTGTTGTCATCACGGGGATTCAGAATGTGTGCCCACACGCCATCGAGACAGACGTGCTGCCTGTCTGTCTGCCGGACCCTCCAGCCAACCTCAGCCCTGAGGGGTGGCCGCCTCTCCCTCTGCTTCAGAGGCAAGCCAGACAGGGAGCCATGGGCCTCCCTCCCGGCAGCCCCTAGGCCCACTGAGATGGTAAAGGTTTTGGACGTCCCCTCATGGTACTCTGCAGTATCCAGCCAGTGGGCACAGTGCCCAGAGGAGTTTGGGGGCAGTGGGCATGGTGCCTTTGCCAAGGTCCCTGGGTGGAAGGAGAGAGCTGTCCCTGGGGATGATGTATCGACTGCAAGTCTGTGTCAGTTCAGCAGGCGTAAGAAAGGTGCGGCTGGTGGGCATGGATGAGTCTCAGGTCAGGACCAGGGCATCAGTTGTAGCCAGTTAACCCCACCAACGCAAGATGCCCCCCCTTGGGGAAGCGTGTGTGCCTGTGTCTTTGTGCATGTGTGTGTGCCCATGTGCGTGTGCGCACGCGTGTACATCCTCTACTTTGGGTGGGAGTTTTCTATAGCCCATGCGGCCGTCTATCTAGAAATGCCTGCCGAGGCGGCTCTAACTAGGGGCTGAGTGAAGGTGCAGACACGGTGTGGCTGTGGGCCCCTCCCACATCCACAGAGGCAGGAGTGACCAGGGGCCACCCCCAACCTCCAAGGCCAGTGCCAAAGGGACAGCAAAGTCAAGGAGAATTGGGGTGGGGGTGGGGATGAAGCACTAACGAGCCCAGGCCCGGACTGCAAGTCCCTCCCGACACCCATTCTTTTTTTTTTGAGCAGCTTCTACTTTTTTTTAA